TGTAATATATATATATATATATATATATATTCCATGTAGTATTGTAATTTCTAAAAAATCTTGCTAGCAACATCATAGAACCTCTCAAGAGTGTCAAAAAATAGAAAAATAAAATTGATCAATGAGAAATCTGATTTCAAAATATTGGTAGCTATTTATAAAATGATTAACAACTAAGTGATTGCTTCTTAATAACTAGAAGTGTTCAATGTACTGCAAAATGAGTTGTTGATATAATTTTGTCTAACTATGCTAAGAAATTTCAGGCCCGAGGTTCATTGCTCATGTTCGTAGCTGGATACCTTACTTTCATGGCCATTGGCGGGTTTCCTTCTTTCGTGGAAGATCTAAAGGTCAGTCAAATCTAACAATTTTATTATTTAGAATTTGTTTCTCCTTGTAGTATTTTTAATATGAAAATCTATAATTCATGCGCATTAAAATGATTATAAATGGCAGAAAAGCTGATTGCAAGGCTACAGCATTTTATTTGTTTTATGTGTAGATGATTACTCCACTATGGGTGAATTTAAGAAACATTTTGATCCCCTTTGATTGATACTGCATGATTATGACAAGTTCTTTTTTTTTTTCTTTTAATAGATCTTTCATCGGGAGAGATTAAATGGGCATTGTAGCCCAACCGCATTCACCATTGCGAACATGCTCTCTTCTATGCCATTTATACTCGTAATATCTGTCTTCCCGGCTGCAATTGCGTACTACATGGTTGGTCTTCAGAGAGACCCGCAACATTTCATATTTTTTGTTCTTGTACTCTACTCAAGCATGTTGCTTGTCGAGGGTCTCATGATGATAGTTGCAAGCATTGTCCCCGACTACCTAATGGGCATTATCACCGGTGCTGCCATACAAGCGATGATGGTCCTTGCTTGTGGCTTTTTCCGTCTGCCTGATGACTTGCCGAAGCCAATATGGAAGTATCCGCTATACTATATTGCATTTCATAAATATGCAAATCAAGCATACTACAAGAATGAATTTTTGGGGCTAAGTTTTAGTGGCATTAGAGGAACAAATTCTTCACTTTCTGGGGAGGAGGTTTTGAGGGATTATTGGCAAATGGAACTTGGCTATTCAAAGTGGGTTGATCTTGCTATCTTGCTTGGAATGGTGGTGGCTTATAGATTATTATTTTGGGTTGCAATTAAAGTTGGTGAGGAAGTAAAGCCCTTGGTGAAGTATTTCATGCTTGGCAAGAGAAGGCATGTCTTAGATTTGTCACCCTCAATTTCAATTGTGGTGACAAACTCAAAAATTTAGAGAAGTATTTTAATTGATATATTCCACTTTATACCTATATTTATAAAAGTGTTATTTTCATGATTCAAATATTTGACTCAATATTGTAATTAACACAACGTAGCATCATTCTTTAGATTCATCCCCTAAAGGATTGAATAGTTTGTAGATATCATATAACTAAACTAATCTATTGCTCACGAATAAATATGTTTTATTGTAATGCACCCCAATTATTTATCTGGAGAGGTTTTTATTCCTTAAATTGTATCAATGTAAAAGATGAAAAGTTTATGGCAAGTTATATGGCTATAATAACTCATGAATGG